CCCCCCCCCACACATGCGCGCCCTCGGACGGCTTCCTATGCACCGCGCTTGTAGTCAATTAACTCTGCCTCCCATCAATATGGGCATGGATGGGAGTAGAGATCCACCAATACCATATCGGTATGGGCATGGATTGGAGTAGAGATCCACCAATACCATTTTTTCTAGACCGAGTACATCAACTATAAAGGACTACAAATACAGTTCCCACTCTCCCCGACATCCCCTCTGTTCCCACATCTCCCCTCTAGGAGAGCGGTGTGTGGGCGGAGACAGCTGGCGCTGTCACAGGAGGCTGAGCTCTCCTCCTGCACTGCTCAGCCTCCTGTGACAGCTGTCAGGATGGAGAGCGGGTACAAGCAGTCAGTGATCAGTGATCGTTGAGTGTTTGTACATAATGGAGGACAGAGTATGGTTACCATAACCTCAATTATGTATGAATGGGAAGGGATCTACATCACCTCCTCTTCATTCATAATTGTAGTTATAGTAAACACACTCTGTCCTCATGTTATGAATGAACATGTTATGAATGAACAGGAACACTCAGTATAGAGGAATCCTGTTCATTGATAACAGGGGCTGCAGAAAAAGACATTGAGGGCTCTGTGTCCTCAATCTCTTTTTCTATTTTAAAAGGGAAATATCAGGGGTGTTTTTAGACCCCTAATATTTCCCCGAAGCCCCCAACAATAAAGTAAAAAAATGTAAATATTCAATAAATCAAAATAAAATATATTTAAAAAAAAGTTTATTTAAACAATATATATATATTAAAAAAAAATTGGAAAAGGTTAGAAAAAACATTTTCGGTTTCGGCCTGACATTTTATTTTTCATTTTGGTTTTGTTTTTGAAATTTTAATTTCGGTGCACCTCTAATTTTTAAAAAAAGTTTTTATCACTTTTTTAATTTTTATTAATTTTTTTACTTTTTAAAATGTTTATTTATCTTGCTCTCTTTAACTTTTTTATTTGTTATAATTTTTTTTCTAATTATTTGTTAATTTCTTTATTTTTTTAATCTTACTATCGTTTACTTTTTATTATTTTAATTATTATTTTGTACTTATTTTCCATAAATGTTTATAATTGTTTATCAATTTTTATTTATTTTTTATTTAATTTTTTTCACTTAACTTTATTGCTATCACACAAGAGCTAACAAGCTCCTGTGTGATAGCATTTGGAGGTGACAGGTTCTCTTTATTGAACCTGTCACCCTCAGTGCTAGAACTCCTGTTACAGCTGAGAGGAAGGGCTGCGAGTGCTGCTCTCCTCTCACTGTCGTCTCGACCCGGCGTGAAAGGTAGCCGGCGGACACACACACACACCTTTCTGACCAGGACAGGGGGCGGGGACTTACCTGCCGCTCCTCTGCTCAGAGAGGCGGCTCTGATCACACCTGTCAGCGCTCCCTCTCTCTCCTCCTGGCCGCTCTGAAGCTCCAGCGGCTGGGAGGAGAGAAAGGGAGCAATGACAGGTGTGTCATGTGACAGTTTAATGACTTTAGGATAGTGTTGGAGTGCCAGGGCCTGGCCCCAGCTGCTATTTTTGCACCCCTGATAGTCCTGCCACTGACTCCAAGCTGTAAAGAGACTAAAAATCTCAGCAATACCTTGTACAGCAATGCTGAATAGCAACCGGCTATAGAAGACTACAAATCCCAGCAACACATTATTCAGCAATGCCAAATGACAACCAGCTATAGAGGACTAAAAAGTCCAGCAATACATCATACAGCAATGCAGAATAATAGTATTATTCTGCATTGCTGTATGATGTATTGCTGGGCGTCTGCAGTCTTCTATAGCCGGTTGCCATTCGGCATTGCT